TAAAATAATAACAGAGAAGATTGAGTCCTTATGCATTCGCTAAAAAGAAAAAAAACTCGGAAAGGAAACAAGAAAGGGTAAAGAAACTGGAACACTATGGTCAATCCCTAAATAGCGCAGAGAGACACCAAAAATTTGCGAACATCTCCTTAAATATATGCTCGTTAACGGCATATCCAGCAATATCAATTCCTTGTACTGATTCAGATACTTCTAATGCGTCGAACGTATCCACTCGAAAGATGAATCAAATATCAGTGAACAATTTCAACCAATGCTAAGCGTACCAACACACTGCCCTCGTGCACACCCCGTATACACATATCGTTGTCCAGTATGCATTGGTGAAAAATGTGCCCTTATGAGTGTATGCAATACTGAATGACCGCGTAACGTCATCACTGACCCATCACCTGTCAAATAAACGCTCCTTACCACACGATCATAACTCCAAAAGTCCAAAATGACCGTCCCGAAAAGCAATGAATATTAAAGAAATTTGATGTGAACAGGAAATATTTCTACGCATTGAATTTCGAACGAAAAAATATTCACTTCAAAAATAAAATCGCCTTCAATAAATATTACAAGGTTTTTTTTTCGCTGCACAAGCTTTTTCGTTAGAATTTCGTTAAATTCGCCAAAATCTATTAAAATTTGTGCATCAATTTTTTTTTTTGAAATGTTTCATCGTCAAGGTCTGAATGAATGTTGAGTTACAGTAGTTACGAAACAAGAACTCAGAATACCTTTCAAAGGAGATGAACAATTCGCGTGTCGTGGCATCGTTTGATATCGGTAATCCCATTTTTGTTGACACACCGCACGACGGGTTTCGTCCTTAAAGACTGATAATCAATGTAAAGTTCGATGATAACAGAATAGTGCTAGGCAACTGAACTAAAGTTACGATTCCGAAATTTTCCGAAATTCGGCATTCTGACCAAAATTTGAATTTGGTAATCAAAAACCGACCAAATTCATTTTTTAGAAAGCCGTAATTCGGCCCTTAGATCGAATTTCGACATTCTTCAGTCAGAATCTCGACTCCATCGGATTCTACCAACCGCGAAATTCCGTCGGTCACGGTCACCATACCAAACAGAAATGTGCTCTTTACGAGATGTGATTAACTAATTAAACAGATGACAGATCGATGAAAAATAAAACATTTATCGAGTCATTTTGAAACGGCGCTGTAA